ATTCCACCTCTACGGAGCGGCTGCGCGACATACAATTTCAGGATACATTGACAGCCAAACTCAACAAGAAATGCGCCAGATTCATTTTGTAGGAAATTATTAGCCAATGCAGGAAGGCGGAGGTGTGTAGCGACAAGTGGCACACTTACGGTCCGATCTCGGATCGACTCCCGCTACCAACCGAGCCTTCTACCCGCCGGGAATGGTAAATTGGTACCAGATTCGTCTGGGAGGATAAGAACACTGACTTGCACATCGGCTGGCCTCTGCAAGTCACTGTATGACCACATCGCATTCATTAAGCCACTACGATTCTGAGTGGAACTAGAATGTATGCCGCATCCCAAAACGGCTTGCTCAACGATGATTACTTTACCATTTTGACGGGGGAAAAAGAGGATGAACACCGACAGAACTCCTGACATTCTTTACAACTTAGAATTTCGCCGTGGTGCACCAAATTATACTAATCCTCCCATTTACCAAACATGTAGTACTACTAATGTGACCCCTTTACTTTGTCAATGACTTAAACTTCCCAGAAAGAAAATGGGTAATTTCTAACGTAAGCAATGGAACTAGGTTGTCACAAAGGAGTGAATCTTGAAGCAGCTCTTTCGCAAAATAAAAAGTATCACGAGAAATCAGGTGCATTATGGACCGAACTAATGAATACCGGTGAACACATTTATGACCGACACTTTCAAATTAAGGTCTGCACTAGAAGCATATTGCCCCGAACTTTATTTCTATCAAGAAACTTTATAAACGCTACCAGGATGAAAACGCATACCTCCGTCATGATTGTGATTAGCCTCATTTGTATTTACATTGGAGGCTTTTTCCTTGCCGAGCAGTGCTTGAATCTCATAAAGAGCATCTGCTATCATACCCGCAACGCGAGAATCCATCTGAAACACAACTTATCTCACAGCGTGAAAAGAATTCAACAAGCTAATAAGGATACCAACGAAACAACAGAAATTAGTTCTCCCCACTACAGTTTTTGCCTCGTGCAAATGCATGCTCCGCGTCATTTGATGTTCTAGACACTTTCTATTGACAAGGTAATTCTGTTTGCAAGCGCAAAGAGGCACCAATTCCTAAAATACGCGAGGTAAGCGCGACTTGCTGGTGACGAGGGCTGCTTCCCGCCCATTGCCCGATGCAATACCCAACTTTCATTCCTAAAAGCTTCCTGATGGTGTGCTTCTTCCGCTACTAGCCCTCTCCAGTTCAAATGGAGACACTGAGTGATAGAGGGAAACAGCTGATCCCAGCTTCGGTATGGTGTTCTGTGTGGTGGCAACTTGGATAATTTTTTTCTTGCACTTTTCCACACTAATGTGAACCACCATTCTTACCATCTTGTCACTGGTATATGTGCCGTCCAAATCATTTTTGAACGCTGGCGTGCCTTTTGAAGGGGGTGAGCAGGCAATATCATTCTTGCAACAGCTCAATAACAACTACCCTCTTTTCCAAACACACCAAAAACAGATTATCAAAATTATAACCATTCATCTGATGCAACTTGATATTATCAATTCCGGATCCTCGGATCGATCAGATAAGAAAACAAGAAAAACTTACCAGCTGGCTCATAGTGAACTGAAGTAGCCGTTGCTGGAACTTTGCATAGACGCGGTACGCATCGGGAACTTTGACTAGAAGACGTAACATCGCGGCAGCTCGTCGCAACATTCCTACAGACGTGCCCATCATCTCCGGATTGTCGCGTAATGCAGGCATACCATGCGTTTGCATAACCTACAGAAAATATGCAGTAATTATGTGATTAGGACAGGGTACAGTCTTAACCACGCGGATGATGGGGCGTGTCAGTGAGGCTGGGTCTGGCACGCTTCCAGCCCGTTCTCCACTAGCTGTTGAAGGACGGAAGCAACAATAACTGGTGAGAAACGACTGATACGAACCAAATGACATAGACGCGTTGCTTGCCCCCCGCCGCCCCAAAAAAAAAAGAAAAAAAACCCGATTGGCGTCGTGCCAAACCCAAACCCCACCCATCATAACACGCCCCTTCGTCTGGCGAACCAGACCGCAGAACATTTTTCCTATTAGTGAGTAGTACATGAAATAACCTGCACCCTACCTGATGCATGCTCTGATCAGATGCTTCGATGAATGAAACGAGATTTGCGATGGTTGGTGATTGCATGGCAGCCACATAGCAAACTGCTTCAGATGCGTTACAGAAAGCGTTTAATATAACGATGGCAAACTCGCTGCAAGCGGGTTCATAAAAAACATGAAAAAGGCAGAGAAAATGAAACAAAATTATTTCTCGAAGATAATACGCACCGATGATGTGTTTCCTCGCTCATACTCAACATTTTCGCTAACATGCGAACGATTTTTTCTATTCGCGGCCATGCTCCAGTGGAAAGCAACATGTCCACATTCCGTTCCAAAACCGACATCTTACACATGATCTCGAGCGCATAGTTCCTAAACATGATCGCTTGGACCGTTCCAATGATGAGACCACTATACGTGAAAATAAGAAGGTCGAAAGTAAACATAAAGCAAAGTACGGTTCGGTCAACACAAGAAAGTAGATGAAAGATGAAAATGATGTTGTTTTATAGTGATAACTTCTGTTTTACGCCGCACTTCGCTGCCGAAAGTTATCACAAGAATGCTGAGTTATGGGCAAAAGTTGTCCCAAGCGGTACTCGAACCCGCACATCGTGCTTTCCGGGCGGGTGCGTCTATTCCGTTACGACCACCAGGCCCTCTCTTACCCTCCCAGCCAACAAACCGTCAAACTAAGAGGGTAAGAGCGTCCCTGGTGGCGTAACGGGTACTCGCCCGCAAAGTATGAGGTGCGGAATCAAGTCCTGGCTGGAGTCAGACTTTTGCCCATAGCATAACATTTCCGTGCGATCAAGTTGGATACAACCAATGGAAAATACTGGAATTAAGATCGGCTAACGTACCTTGGTGAGACTGCTGCAGGAGGTATAGGATCCGTTGCTTCAGGAACAGTTGTCGAACACCAGTGCAGTATTCCATCGTAAATGGGATAAGCCAGTCGGTCAGGCACATCGAACAGGTCAAGCTAGAAGTGAAAAGGATTAGTTCAAGGAAAAAAAATACTGAATCAAAATGCATTTATGATTGTAAGTTACATTGACCACATAAACACTCACCGCTACACTCATATGGCACAGCATCACAAACGCATCGTCCCTCAGCTGATTTGCAGTTTCAACCAGCAGTACCTTGTGCGAATCGTCACAGTCCAGTAAAGATAATGCTCGCGTTCTCAATACTTCATACGACTCAGGTTCCGGTAGTGGAGCATCCTGTGAGAAGGATCGACCTTTATATATAAAGAAATAAGAAGCAAATGCCAACTAATATGGCTTCAACGATAACAGCGAGTCCATACTTCTTCATCGCGCTGATTGGATCGCGTGACTACGACCGTCGGGAACGACCTACAGCCAAGCCCGCCCAAGGGCAGAATTCAAATTGGGCGGCGCTTACACAGTGCCAGTTTGGACGTGCCGTTGCGGAGCTGCACCGTTTAGCGGTGTAGCGTCTCCGGTCTTGGTGGCGCGATCCGGCTGAACGATCCAGCCGTGCGTTCGCAAAGTATGAACGCGGTCTTAGGAGGGATAGGGAGAGCCAAAGCGAAATGAGTCGATTAGCCATAAGCAACCGATTGATCTTGAGGCCCTCATTAAGCATATTGCAAAAGGAGAGGAACCATTTAGTTCCGATTTGAAAAGCATTTTATCATGTTGGAAAATAACCCGTGTTTTGACGGTGGACAACAGTAAATACATCATGAGTGATAAAACCTCTAAGAAGTTACTTTTCTCGACGAAAACTTTGTGGAGGTAAAGGCAGCATGGCAGTTTCTAATGCAGTTGAGTTGTTCAAAAATATTAGGTTGTTCGAAAAGTCCTGCGACACTTTGATTGAATTGTTCTAGAAAAAGACCAAAAATCATTTTGGATGTTTTTATCCCTGATTAGTGGAGACTGTCCTCTGGGGTTTCTGCACATGGGTATATCATGACTTTGTGGAAGTTTTCAAAGCTTAAAAGTCCCTCAGAGATCGAGGTACTTTTCGACCTATCCCATATTATGAGTTCCTGTAGGGCCACTCCGCCGTAGTCGAGGAAGCTGACACCTACGTTGTCTTGAGGAAGGATATCGCTTGCCATGGCAGAGGGTAGCTTTTGCATCAGCGCTTCTAGGCTGGACTTATTTAACTCGTAGTTAGGCAATGTATAGGTCGCCCATCAGCACAGAATGACGGCCCTTTACTCAAGCTTCTTGAGGCGCAGCCGAACGTAACCACCGGTAAGTTGGCGACCTCTCTAGGCTCCACCTGACTGACAACTGCCATGCTTCTCCGCAATCTCGGTTATCGGAAAATTTTTTGTGAAGGATGCCTCATGAGTTGGACCCGTCTGACAAGTCATACCGAATGACCGTGACTGAGTTTTCTTTTCCTTGTACACAGCGAAAGAACTTTTGTGAGATCTTGTGGTTGGTAGCGAGTGTTGGAGTCCTTGCGTACATCATGCACATGTCCCTCGCAGGATCTCTCAAACAGTAAAGTAGATTGCTTAGCCAAAAGCAGATGTGCATGGGATAAAGATTTCAGTGTGTTATTGGTGGGACTTCCAAGCGGTATCACTGGATACCAGCACCGTTGTAAGGACCACAGTCCACCTTAATCGACTTCAAAATATGGATGACGTCACGCTTGAATTCATTCAGAAATACTCAATTTTTCTCTACTACTCGGTAATGCGAGGACCGCATGTGGGGATCAGGCTACGCCAAAAGATCATGGATTTCGATCGGAGAATGCTACCGTACCCAGGTTATTTAACAAAGTTAGCAGCCTCTAATTATCACCTCCTTTGGTCCCTATCGCATCCTTTAGAAAGCAAAAATTCCGAAAATCGACCTCAACTCGAGAATGAGGTCCACCTCTTCTTTTTATCATAGTTGCCGTAGTTCTATGAGAATGGAAATGAGAAGCTGTGCAAAAGAAGGGCACTAGTCCTAGTCATCAACTGCGGTTACCTTGTAGATTGGAGATGTCCTTTACTGACCAGAAATTTAGTTCGAAAAATTTGGTCAAAGTGTCGCAGGACTTTTCGAACAACCTAATAAAATTAAGTAATAAGGGCTAAACACAACTTACCACGTCGATCTTTGGCGCACATTTTGCTCGCAGAATGGGCGTTTCAATGACCATAAGCTGCAGGAATCGTCCCAAAATATACAACAATCCACTGTGCGTACATAGTAAATGTTCACATCCCGGAAGAAATGAGAAACCTCGCAGTATATTCGATAACGCCAATGCACGGAGAGACTAAAATCATACATGTGAAAGTCGCCAGAAAAAGAAACATAACAAATTCAGAAGATGAAGCGATAAGCATATTTCTTAGTATGAGAAGAAAACATCAATTTAAAAGGTAATGTTACACTTTCAACGTGATCGTCAACTGATTTTTTTGTGAAGTGAAACGGAGACCTACTAATAAAGGGGCAAAAGCAAAATAGGCGTGGCTGCACATGGAAATCAGTAAGGAATGGTAGTCGTACAGAAGCTCGCAACACAATCACGCAATCAATCGATTCAATCAGTTTTGCCAAAATCGATCGATCTTATGAATTTTGTCTCTGAACTACTGAGAATTTCTCAACAAAGGGAAAACAATGAGAGCCAATCTGTTTCTGAACTGTTGAGTAATATTTGGAAAAAACAACACAAAACACTTGAGAAGGAACTCTTTGGAAGGTAAACTTGAAAATATGAAATACAAACTATGAATTGATAGAAATAACTAACGAATCGATGTAGCGTGTCGTCTCGTTCCGACAGCGCAGTAGCTCGTGGCCATCGAATTTCATACTCGTTCGGCCCATCATAACCCTCGTTGTTGCGCTCTCGACGAAGCATCACAATTTCCGGAACCTTAAGACTGACAAATTAGACACGAGATTTGGTTTCAACTGAAAATGTAGTAAACAGCCATACGTACCTCTCCTGTTTCTTCTTTTACTTCCTGTTTGATCACAGTCGAACTGCTAGCCTTTGCATCAGAGCTACATTCGTCTTGGTCTACGCTACAGCTAAACCTTGCCTTGCTTTGCGTTTTTGAAGCGTGCAATTCAGTTCGAAGACGAAGAGCTACACGCTCTGCTAGTCCCCCGCCAAGCCCTAGTTGTATTCTTTCCTCCACATAGTCTGCCGTGAGCGTTTCTGAAAACAAACACAAAAGATTCTTCACCGTACGTTGTCACTTTTCAATCACTCTCACCGTCTATCGGAAGACTGCTAGGGCCTTCTTCTAACATGAGCTTCCTCTTAAGCATCTCCGGCATTTCCGCTTCCAGCACTTTGATCTTTCTTCCAGTGCGCGAACACTAAAGTGCGATATAGTCTAATATTCAATCACTGACAAACTAAACAGTTACCTTATTGAAATTTTTCTTATGGTCAGGATTTCTCATTGCTACAGGCTGTTTCACTTGTTCGTGGGCATTTCCGTTCGTCAGAAGAGGCAAACGTAGAGCTTCAGAGTCTCCTTCGGCGATTTGAAATTGAGACGGCTCACCGAGCTAAATATGCGAAATTCAAGCTAAGTCGAAAGCCTTGTGCAACTTAACAACTAAATTAAGAAACAGCCAGGTGCTATTCGATGATGCAAAGTAAGGAAAAAAAAACAATTTTGGCGACTTACTGGGAATGTATCCGGGAATAGTACTGACAGAGTCGCCCAGAAATGCTCAATGATCACGTTCAAGAGACCAGGCATTTGATTAAGGCTAGGATGTGGGTTCGTGTCGTCATACAGAAGTACATTCAATGCGTTGATTGCCCAAATCGCCTCAGCCTCCATACCGCTACGAAGTGCCATGATCAGACGCCGTGGTGTAGCCTACAACAACAATTTGTTGGTACCGAGAGGAGATCATTGTCCGAGATATCGCAATGAAACTCACATTTATTAACTCTCTCGCCATAATCTTACGCCGCCGCTTCTGGCTGATAACGGTTGCCTCGACGCTTCCATGAGGGAAATGGTGTTGATGAGAAAATGACATCGAGGGCGTGCTGCTGCTGCTGCTGCATGTATTGCTGATGCTGCGGGTGAGCAGGATGAGCAGCCGGATGGGGAGCTGGAGCAAACTGCGGCGGTTGCTGAGGAGGTGGTCCACCTGGATGCCCAGGTGGAACGCTAGGATGAGCAGGATGATAAGGATAGGCTCCGGGATATCCAGCTGAAATAGTTGAAGAAGTACAATGAGTACTGTAAAACCTCATATCTACATTTTAATGACTTACCAGGCAAGCGAGCGGGACCATTGGGATACATCGGTGCCGGTTGGCCATAGAAGGGGGCAGCTGGCGGCTGTGGTGTGCCAGCGGGCTGTCCTGGAGGCCCCACGGCAGCCATACTGTAACGTGCTATGTGATTAAAACATATCAGCATATCGATAAGCACTTGCGCATTCCGGGGGCGACGGTCGATTTTCGCTCGGTTTCGTCTGGGAGGTAAGAACAGTGATTTGTACATCGCACTCTACGTTCATTCAGAATCACAGCGGCTTAGTGAACACGATGTGGCCTACACAATGGCCTCCCAGGCCAACCAATGGCAAAAAGGATAAGGTCTAGCCGTTACCGCCCTTCCTTCCCTTTTCTTGGGAAGGAAGGGAGGTTGACCGCTAGACATTATCCTTTTTTATCATCCTTACAATACTTTATCACTTACTTTCAGCTGCCCACAAGTTTTTCTACCGAAGGGAAGCGTATGAACTGGTCTTACAAGAACAAAAAAGATAAGATAACTAAAGAAAAGCGTGGTAAGGTAATGCAACAAAAATACAAATAACAGTAAGCAATCACCTGCTGCTGCTGCTGCATGTATTGCTGATGCTGCGGGTGAGCAGGATGAGCAGCCGGATGGGGAGCTGGAGCAAACTGCGGCGGTTGCTGAGGAGGTGGTCCACCTGGATGCCCAGGTGGAACGCTAGGATGAGCAGGATGATAAGGATAGGCTCCGGGATATCCAGCTGAAATAGTTGAAGAAGTACAATGAGTACTGTAAAACCTCATATCTACATTTTAATGACTTACCAGGCAAGCGAGCGGGACCATTGGGATACATCGGTGCCGGTTGGCCATAGAAGGGGGCAGCTGGCGGCTGTGGTGTGCCAGCGGGCTGTCCTGGAGGCCCCACGGCAGCCATACTGTAACGTGCTATGTGATTAAACATATCAGCATATCGATAAGCACTTGCGCATTCGGGGACGTCGATTTTCGCTTTTTCAAGCAAGCTGTGTACAAAAAAGCCGGTGAGGCAGAAATGCACTCACTGCGCATCGAAAACGTGTATCCTCACGTCTGATCGGGTTAAAAACACGTCAAGGAGACTACAGAACATGTCAATTACCCTCAAGAACTCTCAAGATCGACTTGTGAGAACTTGGTAACTTATACCTATGCGACATAAAAATGTCCCGATAAGGATTTGTGAAAACATGTTGAAGCGATACCCAACACGGCTCAACTTGTTTGAGTTCAAAAGTTCAGTAAAGCGGCGACTATCGGATTAAACAAAGTATGAACTTGACATATGAGGAAGAACTGTCTACCTCCTGCGTCTTATGAAGCTAATATTTTGCCACCCCATAAAAGAATATCTATCGACATGAAGACATCATGTTAATCTGGTAAAACTCTTCAAAAGTACTATCAAAAAGCCGTAACATCTGTCAACAAGCTTGCGAATCAATGCAGCCGCCGCAAGAAACGTCTGCATGGTAGGGCCGCGGTCGCCGCAGCAGCTACGGGAACGCGGTGGCGCAAACCGGGCGTGCACAAGGTCATCCCACCATCGCCCATACCTTCGTCGCGATGTGCCGACGACGGGTTGTCGGCCTGACAATCGTCGCGATCCGTCGCCGACGAGGAAAACTCCTCGTCGAACAGTTGCATGCTGGATAAACTTAGTAGACTCCAAGCTCAATCGCTAGAAAGGATAGATGGATGGATGCACGACGGCGGCGCTTGATGACGGTCGGCCAATGAGCGATCATCGCGAAGCGCCCTCCCTTCCCACAATAAACGCGCGCCGGCGCCACGTAAGCATACTGCATACAAATGCCATCGTCGTTTGCATGTACGGAGTGAAAGCGTGCGCTCAATGCTTGTCGTTCAACGCTAACGCTGTGGAAAAGATGAATGTGGCATCCTTCAAACTAGTATCTCGCAAAATAGCCTAACAACGACACGCAGTCACAGGAAGCCTTAAAGAGGGAATACAACCATGTAGCGGTGGGCTACGTCCACTTCAATATGCTTCGCTGAATAGGTTAGCCTCACAAAGTCAAAAAGCGCGAAACCTAAAATTACTGAAATAACGCGAATCAGCGCCCACAGCATAAGCTGCCCTCCAACCACCGCACCACTCAGCGCCCTATGTTGAATGAAATCGGGCAAGATAGAGCAGGTACTCCAAAAAAAAAAGCAATCACAGAAAGGAACCAACCTTGTTGACGGCTGAGAAACGGAATGAGGGCCAGGAGTATGTGTAGCGGCCGGTGGTCCGACTGCAGCCGATCCGGGACGTTGATCACTCGAGTCCACGCCAGCACTCATACGCGAGCTGCTATCGGGAGATGCAGCGCTAGGAGCGGGTCCCGTACTTGGTGCACGACTGCCTGATTGACTTGCAGTGTCCATCTGAAAACTGGTTCTGTAGAAAGAGCAAACGAAAGGCGTGAGTCTTTGCGGATGTTAACGTTTACAAAGCAGTGTGTCTAACCTGTAACGCCGCAGGGGTGGCTGGTTGAACAGAGCCAGGCTGGACGGAGCCAGGCTGAACAGAGCTTGGCTGCACAGAGCCTGGCTGCACAGAGCCTGGTCGACCCGGAGTGGCAGGCTGAGCGGCTTGGCTGGGAACAGCAATATTTTGCTGAGCTTGCTGCTGAACTTGTTGCTGCTTGTTGTTGTTGTTGTTGTTGTTGTTGCAGTTGTTGTTGGTGCTGCTGCTGTTGTTGCTGCTGCAGTTGTTGTTGTTGCTGCTGCAATTGTTGTTGATGTTGTTGTTGCTGCTGCTGTTGCTGTTGCTGCAATTGTTGTTGTTGCTGGTGTTGTTGTTGCTGATGCGCCATTTGTTGCTGGTGGTACTGCTGCTGCATGAAGTAATGTTGCCTTTGTTGCTCATCCATCTGCGAGAGGTCCGGTTGTGGTGGGACACCCGGCTGAAAGAAAGTCAATGAGCAAAACATGAAGGACGGCACGATTATTCTACGAAAAGAACTTGAACAAACTCAAACTGGTTGGTAGGGCCTAGTGAAAAAGGAGGTTCAAACAGCGCCCTTGCCATCAGAGTTTGTCCAAATCTATCCAAATTTCACAGTCACATACCATATGCGGCTGCGGATGCGGTGCTCGCATTGGCGCTGGAGCAGCTGGAAGGCGCGGAGGATACGCACTAGCGGGATACGTGGCAGGAGCACCGGGAGGTCCCGAAGGGACTGCACCCGGTGGGAAACCATGAGCTGCCGCCTGTTGCTGCTGTTGTTGATAGTATAACGTCGGATCTTGTCCAGGTGGCTGTTGGGCATGGGTAGGACCTGAATGAGAAGGAACTGAAAATTCTGAAGAAAAAAAGCATACTGTTGAATTTTTACACAAATATAATTTTTTGAATGTTTTTTAATATTACAAAACTCGAAATGTTTATTTCGAAAACCCTAAAGACACCAATATCTCAATTATTTTTTGAAATACAGATATAGTGAGACTCCGGCAGCATAATACTTCGATCAATATTATTACCATAAAAGGAGTTTATGAAGCAGAACAGAGTTAAGCAGAATCAAGCACATTCCGATAAAAGAACGTGGAATAATTATACATTTAGTTCGGTTCATGCTATACTTTTTTTACTCTTGATTCATGTTCTCAAGCACACCTAATTGGGCATATTAGGGTACTACTTCAGAAAAGAAAGTCGATTTGTGGGTCTGAGAAACTCACAGTAAAGGTCGTCAAGTATTTCAAAATTTCAAATTCTAGAATTTGATCTACTAAGTTACAACAGCAAATTTAGCGCGTTGCTGAACCCAGAGTCACCCACCAGCTGCCCCGCGCGGACGGGTCTCGAGATACTCAACTCACGCGAATACTCACGTACTAAATGAGTGAGAGTGACAAGGGAGATTTTTTTCGTTTACATTTCCTATAAAGGATGTTCTCTGAATGTTCATTATTTTTGCTTTTTTAGTTGCTTCTCCTTGGCTTGGCCTTTCACGTGCTGAACATTTTCGTGCTTAAGTAAACGAATACGTTTTCTTATATGCAGATTTCTTTCGATGTACTTTTTCATAGCCTGTCATTACGAAGAAGAAATGCTTCGATCACTATGATATCTTTCGGCAACGCGTCATTCTGACAACTTTAGTGTCCACTTCAGTTGTTTAATGTGCTCGATTTGTTCCGTGTTTGCCAAAAAACTGCTCCGAATTGCAACTTGCGCCCAAAAAACATGATTGACGCCATTCTGCCACTTTCACCTCGTTCCAGACCATGACAATCAGCTGCTGCAGATGTGTTCCAGCTTGATGTCCAACGTTCACAGTGGTATCAAAGGAGCCATGTTACATGGTTAGCGATCCCACATTGCCATCGCCCACTGATATACGATTGGAGCCCGTACACGCACATCCACTGCTCTACGTAATATCGACATAGTTTCACACAGCAGCTCGAACCCACATCTCAACGAGAAGTTTCCATGACAACACCGTATTCGACGGCTTGTCGTTACTAGCCGAAGACTTTGCAAAGAAATCCCAACAATGCGTTCTACTGTAGTTTTCTACGATACAAAAGGAGAAATAAATTGATAGCTTCACTTTTATTTTACTGATGCAATCAATAACACAGCGTTCTCCTTCAATATTTTCAGACCACTCAAAACATCGTCTAATCATACACAAGACTAAAAATCCGGATAACGATTATCCCTGTCAAGGTATTTTCGTTGAAATTACCATGCCATATACCCGTAAAATCCACGAAAATCTGTTGCAAAACCCAGGGTCACCTGGGTGTCACTCCAGCCATCTGTGATATGTTAGCAAATTTTGTTTCGAAAGGTAAAAACATACGAGCAAAAATGGCGAATTCACATGCGGCCCCTTGTAGAATTCCACAAAAATATTTAAGCCAGTAGTTTGAAAATAGCTTGTTTTAGGGCCAAAGTATTTCAAAGCTATAGCGACTAGCGAACCATCCGTAACATCCCTTGCGAGAAAGTTAGTCATAAACACCGTAATGGGACAAGATGGGATATTAACTACTTTCTTACCATAAAGTTCGCAACATCTTGACACAATTCTGTGAAGCAGAGGAAACTTGCACTAAGGCAGAGGGTCAGCTGGTGAGGATGCGAAATCTCTCCCGTCAAATTCCCTGAGAACAGGCGCTCATCACAGTCTGCGGGACATACGAGCGCACGCAAATCCACGTCGGACACCCTTCACCACAATGTTAGGCTTTTATTCTCGACGCCGCCGGCGCTATCACAACGCGCACGTCTCGGAACCGCGAAAATTTCTCAAGATAACATTGCGCTGCGAGAAAGGTGAGATGGTAATAAACATGGTAACCACAACTCGAAAACTGTTCGCTACTCACCATATGGTCGCCAGTCGGACTGTGGCAACATCATGTTGCGAGACCGATAGTATGCTTCTCGCTCCCGTTCTCGAGCATGTTGATGATGGTAGTAGTTGAGCGCATACTGAGCATACGGCGAAGCATTTGGGGACATCTTCATCGGATTTTGAGGTAAAGGGCCATAGGCGCTCGGCTGCGGGTAAAACTGTTGCGATGGAGACGTCGATGACGGCGATGGGCACGGACCGTTTGCGATCGGTCGCGCTTGTGGCACTGGTGCCGATAAGTATCCACCTCCATGTTGAGGGTGTTGTGGATACCATGTTGCAGTGGCTATGGCTGTGCGAGCGCCCATCAGTAACGGCTGAGGCGACGGAGAGAAACTCGTCGACGGCAGTGTGCTGGAGGCGGCCGGACAGCCACCGCCGCCGAAATACTCGGCTCTCTTCGGTAGTGAAATGTTGATCAGGTCAGTCAGCGAGATCTGATGCAATCAACTCTTCTTGGATGTCGTTCTGTGCGCGTGTCACCTGAATACTACTTTCTATAGCAGATCCACTCTGTTATAACGGTCAAAGATCAGCGGAGAACCACGTGCGCCTCGACGAAATTAGGTGTGAATCAGAGAACAGACAAACAGACAAATGAAAGTCAATCAGCACGATAACAACATCACTTAGCGCATGTGACGTGCGAAGAAAAACAAGTTCTAGCGGTAAATTAGAATCTATAAATACGATCTGGCATCATCAGTGTGAGAATCGACATCAGCTTCTTCTTCAGCATGGCTAACTATCCCATAAAGCCGAGGTTTCGTGGTTTTGAATAGCGAGAAAATACTAATGACCTATCCACGCGCGGCTAAAGGACAAAGTTGTCAAAACCGGCGTGGATAACTGTGAGCGGTGATCCGAGATCTACTGTCAAGTCGGAAAGAGCCTGTTCCTTCGTAGGCACGAGCAACAGCGGCACCGGCCACAGAGAGGAGGCGGTCTGAACAGCAGGTGCTAGAGTCGCAGAACGAGAAAGAGAAGACGAGAACGCCCAGCAACGCATAATCACCTCGAGAGAGTGCCGACATCGCCGGGGGTGAGAAGCCTGCCAGACAGCTACAGATACCTCAGTAAGGCACTATTCGTCCGACTTTCGACCACTATTGTTAGCTAGTTCTCATACGTAGTCTTCATACTTCCCCTCTCAGATTACTGCGACAATCCGGTCGTCATTTCTTTTGCGCTAGTCACATCACATTAAATGCACCGTCACACAACCCCTACTCTGGTGTTATCAAATCTTTCTTAGTTGTTCGTACTTTGTATGTTCGAGAGTGGTACTCACCGCAGTCGATCTATCATTTTAGGACCTGCTCTAGTCAAAAACATTGGTTGCGCCATGAGCATTGCGATTCCGATCAGAGAGCGGTTCGCGAAAGAATAGAAGCTGTTCATTTGCTTCCCATGGGATCTTTCGGAATTAAAATACATTTCTAAGCTACTTGTCACCAATCTTTTCATGGTATATCCTCTTGTTGCCTTGAAAATCTTCCTCTAAATATGTGTAGGAGCAAGCAGTAACCGCTGGACTCGTATATCAGTTAACTGCGCGCACTGATGGGGAAGCGCACATTTTCTGTCAGCACTTAAGCAGGCGCATGTTCATACTGTATTGATGAGCGAACAACGTCGCCTTGCCAACCGCATCCTTCGAGAGCATTAATGAGACCTATGTCACACCTCGGCAATCACACAAGGAAGGGATAAAGCGCTAATTAGCCCTCGCATTAGTATCAGCTTATTCTTAACATATCTATTTCTCGGTGGGACATATGTAAAAAGAGACCAATCACGTCAACAAATTGAACCATAAATGGACAAGTTTGATTCATTTCTCAAAATTCCAATTTCGTTCTCCATTGGAACGCTTGCGCAGCTTTCTTTCTGACTAATTATTATTATTATTATTATTATTATTATTATTATTATTATTATTATTATTATTATTATTATTATTATTATTATTATTATTATTATTATTATTATTATTATTATTGTTTGTCCGCCGTAGTACAAACTTTCTTTTTCACAAGGCTTTTGAAAATATTTTGGAAAAAATGCATTGTACGTGGACTTGATTGGTTCACTTTAAGTTCGATATATAACTCACCTGGAAATGGAGGCAGAGATCCACTTGGAGTTCCCCCGGCTGCGGCTGCCGCGGCAGCAGCGGAAGCAGCAGGATCCTTCCTCCGCTGCCTCTTAAGGCCGTCCGCGAACGCCACCGCATCTTCTGGACGACGACCCGTCTCCACACATTCGAGCAACAACAGGTGCTTCTCATAATGTTTCCGAAGCTGATACCCAGCAGCCGACGACTGCGAGATCTCGGGATTGGCCTCGGTGCAGATAGCTTTCCATGCTTTGTCTTTCGTTACCTAAATTCTACTATAAGAGCGGGTCGAATATCGATTTCTGTGCCTTTTTCCCGAAACCATATAAAAACCAGAAAGGTAGAATATACAACAAACATACCTGCTCAAAACCTCCACGATTTCGGACACCGATGTATAATCGGTGCAAGTCAACATTTTGTTTGGATACCTGCACAAAAAAGATATTTAGCAGAAAACGACGACGATCAGTACACAAAACGTCTACATCACAAGCAGAGAAGACTGCGCAATTACCTGTGGTATCATGGTGATTGGTTCACCGTGTTGCTCACAAAACTGAACAAGGCGCTCAAAAAACATACGCCGTTCAGGCATCACCCGTGGTGGATTCGCCGCCGTCGGTGGTCCAACCTATGGTCAGCAATATTTTGCTACTATCTAAACTTTTATTATAGGGTGACAACTCACAAGTTTATCCACTATGCTCTCTTTACGTGGCCCGGCAGGTGTGGTGGGCTGTATCACGGGCGGCATCATACTTTGCGGTGGCATCATGCCCGGATGCATCATCATTCCTGATGGATGAGGAGGTGCACTAGGATGCGGAGTACGCTGAATCAGATTTTTCTTCTTCACTGAGAATGCGACAACGACCTTACATCTTTGCTTTTCCGTACCTGTCCCTGATTTGACCAAGACGGAGACTCCAAACGCGATTTGTCGTCCATGGACTCGTCCGCGACAGATGACGCAGCAGGACTAGGAGCTGGAAGGCTCGCTGGAGTTGGAGGATTGCCTTCCTAAAGAAAACCGATGATTTAACATCTGCCACTTCAATTGTAAGGTTACTTCACCTTGAGGGCACGTTGCTGTTGAGCAGCCCATTCAGCTGGTGTTGGTCCCTGGGGCATACGAACAAGTTCTGGCTGTTGTGGTCGCATCATATGAGGGTAGGCGACCGGTGGAGGTGCACTTCCTGGATAGGTCGGCTGTCCTGGAGGCATTGTAGGATAGCCGGGATAGCAAGGGAATCCAGATGGGCGACCCTGCATAAATTGTGGTGGATAACCACCTGGATAGGGATGCTGAGGTTGATGAGGGACTTGTTGGCCATCTGTAAAATTACCAATGAATTGGAGAAGATGAAAACATCTACGGTTACAAGTGAAGGAGATGATAAGAGCTTCAAGAAGTTAGCTGCGACTGGAAAAACGCCATCAGAATGCATATTTAGACAATTTTCCAAAACAGCGCTAAGTCTCGCAAACATCAGCACTCTGTGGTGTTGCCAAACACCTGCCTTCTGAACGAGGAAGCAGAAAGGAGCACTTACCGGACGGCATTGGCGATCGTGGCTGCTGCCATTCCTGCTGCTGAACACCAGCAAGTTGAGCATGCTTCGGCGGTATGCCATGGAGCATCGAACCAGCTCCGGCAGCTACCGCTGCGGCTGTGGCCGCATACCGGTCAGCACCAAACGGTGTTCCACCATTCGATAAGTTCTGTTCCTGAAATTGGCCATAATTCAGTGGAAAAAAAGTTCTGAATGCTCACAAAAAAAGCTGTTTGTCAACAGAGAGTATATTATCATTTAGTCCATTTCTGCCCACGAGTCTAACCACCCACATGTACTGCTGCATCGGTAGTAGGAATGGAAGAAAGAAATCGGCGCTTGTCTTTGCAACTTACACCAAACTACCTACAGACCGCACACATCTGCACAGCCGTTCTACGAAATAAGCGCATCCTTCTTATGTCTTCAAGAAACATCCGAAATCGTTGGCATACTACGCCAAGGTCTCTATGAACCTAGAACATCTCTATTCTAATCATCTACTACTACCATTTCCAAGCAAATGGTGACTTGCAGTAGACCAAAATACAATAGACAGAGAGTGAACACGAGTGCCGACGAAATGCGAGCAAGAAACGGCTGAGTTCATTTATGGACGACGGGCGTGACAGGAATAAAATAAAAGATCGCTGCTCTCTCATTCACGTGACGATCTCGTCGTCTTGGCTATTTGCACTACATGCTCGTTGGTTGGGGAAACCCCCACGGTCCCGCCTCTCTCATGATGCGAAAGCGTGTGTGACGTAAACGCGGAATTGATCTTAGCTCTGGCGCCCGTGGGAACCATGTGTATGTGTGCTAGTCTGTTGCTGTTTTTTACTAGTCGCCGCGAATCGGAACGCACATGGCCATGACGGGCCAGCCCTGGCCAGTCATCAGCCGCCCCAGCTTTCCTACACCGGCGTCGACCGAGGTGGGCGCCGAAGACGATGACGCATGCATAGTGCGCGCGCGACGTCGCGCCGCCGCCAGAGCAGATGATAAACAACGTTCGCGCGACAACGTTCGATGCGACACACCAAGCACGCCACCAACGAACGATCATTGCCGATGGATGACGTCATGTCAGGGAATTGTCTTCTCACCTTGCCGCCCGCTGTTTCCCACGCTATCCCCGTTCACACACAAACACAATCATCTCTCGTGCTGATGGTTGATCGGTCGAAAATGGGCGCGGTTCGACGCACAAACTATACGCGTACACACACAACCCATTAATAGCACAGATGACAGACACGTGAAACACGTCGGACTGGTCTTTTAAAGATCGACCAGTCAGACGAGCATAAAATCTGCTGGAGCGAGGCGCTCTGCCATCACGCACGTCACACCTATCCACTACGACTCCTTTTTCAGCACGGTCAGACTAGCTCTGAGCTAGTGTAAGCTTGTAGGCAGCTTATTCGAAATCTTCACTAAACCGACTCAAAAGCTCTTCAGTTCAGTATGGATCACAGTCTGACGAGAGAGCGATGAACCAAAAACGTGGACTGGAAGAATAATGACCCTTCCAGGGTCATAGGCATGGTGTTGGGGCAATCGCCTTGATGAAAATAAGCAGAAGAAGACCGGCATTACAAAGCAAACCTCTTACCTCATTGCATAACGTTCAAAGAGATCTCGTTTTTCGGAGCCAGTCTCTCTCACGACATCGCACTTTAGCACTGCACCTTTTACAATCGCACTACTCGTTTGCGTTTAGGACACCAATCATAAATCGCCTCTATGCTCTTTCTCGAATCGAGCCCAAGCTCTCCACCGATATATGCCCATCAAACGTCAGTTCACTTATTCGGTCCCCATTCTGCGCCCTCTGTGCACATCGCAGTGTATCGCCAACGCAGCGTCCCGGCCCGCTTCCCATTCTTTCGCCCCCTTTCAATCGCATACACAGACCGACAGCAGACGGAGCGGGTTACGACGAGATAGCACGGACCAGGCATACCGTACGAGGCCTCGCAAATACGTTAGACACGCAGGGAAGAGTTATTTGCATTCGCTCACAGCCGCCCCGGCCACCATCGATTGCCGGCGCAGTTCTGCGCTGCTTGTCTACGCCCTCCCAGTTTTTGGGCAATGCCTCGCCAACGCCTGTAGCTGGGACTCCGTCCACCACACGTACACTACACAACCTGTCACGGATGCGGCGATAAAAGTGCGCCTACAGAACGTGAACCTCACGCATTCGTTCCGACACCGAACCAAACACGCCACCTACACCATCAAAAGCTCATATGATCCTTTTCCAGTGATAGGAGTCTGATTAAAAAAACACGGTTTATAAGCCAAGAGATTTCCTTCGAAAGAGCGTACGACGGCACATGCACAATTGCTAGTTCCGTTTTGATTGCGAGTTCTTCGCTGTACACACTGACAACAGAAAAACTTGCACTTTTGCGTGCCTGCGCCTCCAAGTGCACATGCGCTTTCGTGTCATTGCCGCGGCCGGTGGTAGTCGGGCTGACTCTCCTCAAACGACGACTCGCTCCTAGTACAGCACCTACTACATGCATGAACACAGAATCTGCATACAAAACTGGGAAAGGGAGACGAAGCTGAGTTTAGACGGCTGCATGCTTGCAGCAGGGAACAGTCAGAGCGAAAGCTATCTTCATATAGAACGCGGCACGGCCATCAGTAAATGTGGAAATGTGTTAATCAGTGAAAGACGGATGGAGAGAAACCGCTGAGGGGATAGAGTCGAGGGAAGACGTTGTGTTAGTCAGTTAGTGAGTGGACACTAGAATCGGCTTTCATTCAGTATGAAGCTTATAAGCACAAGATTGATATGGCGTAACGACAAACCGCTGAAGAGACTTATAAGTGCCGAAATAGGATCGCTCGGAGTGCTCCGGGGTGACGACCAGGGGGATTCCCCGGTGCGCAATTTAATCACGTCATTTCACTAGACGACGAAGTAAGAGAAAAAGAGACACCAGAGACAAACGGGACTGGGAGCAGGCTGACGAAGGGCGAACGGACCGAGGACCACACACTAGACACAATCACAAACAATCACCAAGTCTCGTCTGGTGCGCGATCACTCTGCACCATCAACGAATTGACTACCACCTATTGCATACCGCCGGGCTGAGAACGCTGAAATGGCCGTTAGCGATGAGTTGTCGACGGCGACTTGATGACGTAATCCATCAGCACCTTGTTCCTCCGCCTCCATTTTCGCCGTCCTCGTGCGAACCTCTTTTATTATGCGCCGCTGACTTTGCACTCATTTCATGGCTGAATCCAGGCAGGGTCTGGCGCTCGTGCGACTCAATTAAGCCGTATTACCCGCTTCTTCCATTAATGTGGCTAACCCGAGGACATGACAAAAAGCTTCCACTGAATCGTCACTGTACTTTCTCACGCTAATATTCGTCTTCATCTACTTCACATTATATAATGTAATGCATAATCGTAGATGACAGAAGTGATTTATGCGACAACGCGCCGCAACACAACTCTCGGGAACATCGGCGCTTATTGCGATGGCGGCGACGATGGCGTCATCATTTGTAAAAGAGATAATCAACGACTGCAATTAGCTGCTAATACGCGACAAAAATCATCGTCGACGAACACGGAACTTTCCCACACTGACCAGCCGATTTCATTGGGGATTCGATAATGGAGTGGATTTCTTTATTGGGATAGGTAATTGTCCAACTAATCAATACAGCGGTAAAACTATGACGAAAAAAAGGCAATTTAAGAGGAACGGTCTCATTTAAACTGGAAACCCTAGAGTACGTTGAACTTAAATGTCACACATAGCTAACCTCATTCAAAAAAGAATGTACGGCTCAATTTGGGAACGGGATGGGGGGGGGCATTTTGCACTTTCGCTGCTTCACTAGTTCCGGTTTACAAGTCTCACTCTGGTGAAACCTGTGAACTCTTGTGAAGCTGGAGCAAGCTCGTCGAGCCAGCATGGAAAACCTGTCAACTCTTGTAAGCTCACCAAACAGCTCTCTAGATAGCTCGACACCTCGACAGGAAACAAAATGTCCCTTATCCCGTCGTCGAACTGTGCTGAATGTACTTTCTCATCTGTATCTATCTTTGGAGAAATGTTTACCCAACAGAACTTATCAATTAGGGAGTTCCAGAACATGAAACAATCCAACCGAAGTCTACAGGTGATTCATAATTGACCTGCATTTTAAAGCCTACTGTATTCGATGCAGGGGCACACCATAGCTGTGATGATCACAGCGTGGAGGGGGTCGTGTTTGACCGCGGGGGAAGGGTAGTTGCATTTGGCCGTTGTTGAGAAAGGGGCGCCATAGATCTATACAACTACTATTTTCGACAGTTAAATGGTAGTAAATCCTGATGACCTCCCTCCCTCTCCCGCTCGACACCGAAATTCTTGGCTGCAAAACTGGAAAATCTTTGGGATCAAGGAAAGTGGTAGGTAGCATGGGGAGGGGGAGTCGTATTGGAGACTGGGATTAGGGGGTCGTATTTTTCAGGAAGTGATGACGACGCGATGGCGTGCCCTTATTCGATAATCAGGGTGTTCAAAAAAGCAGAGCAAGCCTAACATTCACAACTTATATCCAACTGCATAGATGGTGAGGAAGAACCATTGCCTTGTTTGTGCATTCAAGGCTTATATCACAGCGTGGATGGTCAATCAGAGGATCAGCAGTTCAATCGGATGCTCAGACATCACGCACTGACGACAGGGAACACCCACTCGAGAGAATGGATCAAAGAGCAAGTCACATTGACGAACACATTCGCACACCAGATGCGAAAGCCAATCGTTTTTTTTAATGTTTACGAGGTGTACGACTAGGCATTGCGGGTGAGTGCGTGTGAGTATCCAAAATGCAGAGGCAACCACCGCACGAGACCCCATAACAAAAAATTGCACGTGGGAATCCCGGGAGGAGACAACACCGCAACAATACACGCCTTCGCAAGAAGTGCAAACAAACACATTCGGGCGATGGTCTTTTCGGCCAGCTCGTTTGCCAACGATACCCGTCACAACAACATACATGTGTTGTCGCAAACTGACCACCTTGCAAGCGTGACTCACAGAATGACCATTGGTTTTATGAAACGTCTCGATTCTTGACGGATCTATTTTTATCGTGACAAACAAAACGGTTGCACAAAATAACCATCAGTCTGCATGCCAAGGACACTTAACCCTTTGCACTTTCTCGCACACATGAAAAATGCAAATTACTCTGCAGAAAAGAAATTGTTCACTATAGTAATTACGGTTCATTAGCTACTTCCTATGGGGATCTCCTTCCACTCTAAAATTCA